AGGCTGAGAGCACATTTTAAAAAATAAAATTGAATCTGGCTGCTAGTGATTCACACCTGTAATCCCAGCTACTCAGGAAACTAAGATCTAGGTATCATGGTTAAAAGCCAGCCCAAGCAAGAAAGTCTGTGAGACTCTTATCTCTAATAAACTACTCAGAAAAAAGCCAGAAGTGGCACTGTGGCTCAAGTGATAGAGTGCTAGCCTTCAGCAAAAAGAAGCTCAGGGTCAGCACCTAAGCCAAGAGTTCAAGCACCAGGACTGGCAAATAAATGAATAGATAAGCAAACAAACACATAGAGTTGACTATAGCATTCTGTTTGCAATGAGATCATTTGTCTAGAAGAATTATCATTGGAACGTCTAATTACATTTACAATGTTATGATACATACTCAATAAGTCAATTGAGCACTATCAGTGCTCTCTGGTAGTTAACATTATAAATGTTGCTTTTCTTTTTCCTTTTTTTTTTTTTTTGTCAGTTGTGGGACTTGAACTCAGCCTGGGCGCTATCCCTGAGCTCTTCAGCTCAAGGCTAGCACTCTACCACTTGAGTGGCAGTGCCACTTCCAGTTTTCTGGTGGTTTATTGGAAATAAGAGTCTCACAGATTTTCCTACCGGGCTGGCTTTGAATTGTGATCCTCAGATCTCATCCTCCTTATTATCTAGGATTATACGCGTGAGCCACTAGTGCCCAGCTATATCCTTTTCTTTGATGACTAGTCTTAAATAAAGCTGCTCATTAATAAATAGAAAATATGTTTGAATGTTTCTAAACCAGTGATCTAAAATTTCTAATTCCTTCTTGAGGAGTTGGGAGGGAAGGGATGGTAGGGGGAAAACAAAGGAGGAGGCAACACTGCTTGATAAGAAATATACTCATTACCTTGCTCATGTAACTGTAACCCCTCTATACAGTATTTTCACAATAAAAAACTTACAATAGTAAATAATTAATTTAATTTAATAAGAACTCTTAAATTACTAAAATCCTACCAAGACCATATTTAGCTTAAGAATACATACTCATCTTACATTTTTAGTATTTTCATCTCTTTTGTCTTTTTTCAAGTACTATCTTACTTTTTTATACTTAGCTATTGTTCTCTTCCCTTTGACTTTCCAACCCATCTCATGCTAATGTGAGATCTATCAAATCTTGGTATTTATTATTTCTTTGGGATTTGAACTCAGGGCCTTACTGTTTTCCTTAGCTTTTTCACTTATAGCTGGTACTCTACCACTTGAGCCACTTCCCTATTTCTAGAATTTTATTTTTTAAAAAACATAAATAAGTGAGGCTATGCAAAGTGCTTAATAGCACTCAGTAGCAAAGTGCTTACTTAGTAGGTATGAGGCCTAGGGATCTCTCACCACACTCAAGAGGCACTAGGACTATAAATAAGTTTAAAATGTAGTCTTCCATTAGAAGTTAGAGAAGTTAGAAGTTAAGAGTCTGGATAGAGACACTGCTAGTCTTTCAAGGTGCAGGAAGCAATAGACTAAGCAAACATTTTCCTTCTGCATGATAACAGCTACTAGGTTTGCAGCAAAATATCCAAAATCCTATTCGTCAAAGCCTCCTCTCCTCCACAAAACTAACATCAAGTTTCATATTCTATTGCTTATAACATTTCACTTTTAAATAATAAAATTTGTTCTGTTAGAACCCTTATCAGTTATACCTAAAGTTTCTTACAATGTTCTAATTAAGAAAAAGAAACCAAATGAGTTGTCTAAGCAACATACAACTGTACTTTTCTCCTAAATGAAAGAAGTCTGGAGGAAGGCAGATCAAGGTCAGGGCATCCAGGTGTCTGAGGTCATCTCAAGATCCCAGAAGCAGAGCTCTTGGCATCATACCTTCATTCTAGTTTCCTTTTGGTTAAATTGCCGTGTTTTGTGGTTTGGTTTTTTTTTTAATTGTTTGTTTGTTTTTGAAAAAGTTTTCTCAATATATCTACCCATCAATTCCATCTCTAGCTAACTGGTTCATAAGCCATATAGCTATACCAGTCCAACAGGAGACTGGGAATGTTCCCTTATTTTACACAGAAATGTTCCCACAGATTTAAGCTTCTGTTACCCAACCAACTCTGGAAAGACAATGTCAATCTTTGCCACAGTACTTACCATACATTTCATTAAAATACTGGGATGCTGGAAATAATCTAAGTGGCCTGGAGAGCAAACTGTTAAATAAAATGCAGAATTCTCATATATTAAGTAGTACTGTCCTGATGGTTAAAAAATATGGCTTTAGGGTTGGGGTGTCACTCCAGGGGAGCACTTGCCTAGCATGCACTAAGATCTGGGTTCCATTTCCAGTACCGGGGAACAAAAAGTGGTTTCAAAATATGGCCATTGTCGAAAATGAACTATACATCTTTGGCACGGGAGTGGGAGGGGTGGGGAGGTAGGGGAGTGGGTGGGGGGAGATGGGAAGGGATGGGAAGGGGAAACAAAGGAGGAGGCAGTAATGCTTGATAAGAAATGCACTCATTACCTTGCCCATGTAATTGTAACCCCTCTGTATGGTATTTTCACAAAAAAAAATATGACTATTGACTACCCTTTATCAACATGGAAAATTTTCTGTGATGCCTTTCAAAGGGGAAAAAATATTATATATGCAATGATCTCCTATGTAAAGACGTTTTAAAATGTTAACCATAGTTAAGTAACCACTAGAGTTAGTGAATATTTTATTTTGTAGTTTTCCTTTCTACTTTCATGTGTGACTTGTTTGTTTTTTTACAGTGTTCTTCCTTGTTTACACAATTACTGTAGAAATAAAAAGACACTGAACAAAATTACCTTCAATAATTCTAGGGTAAAAAAGCAGCCCGTAAAACTTTTTCTTTGCACATCAGTCTTTATCCCATGGGCACCTTGGGCTGCTGCTGCTGCTGCTATTCTTTTCCTTTCTCTGTTTTGTTTATTTGTTTGTTAGTGGCAATTCTGGTGTTTGAACCCAGGGCCTAGGCACTATTCCTGAGCATTTTTGATCAAGGCTAGCACCTATCACTTGAGCCATAGCTCCACTTTAGGCTTTTTGGTGGTTCATTGGAAATAAGTGTCTCATGGACTTTCCTGCCTGTGGTTTGGCTTGGATGCTCAGTTCTCAGATCTCAGCCTCCTGAGTAGCTAGGGTTACAGGCATGAGGCACCAGCACCTGGCCCATGGGTTTTCTTATATGTCCTTTAGATGCCAATTTCACACCAACGATGTTGTAAAGAGCCTGGGTTATTCATCCTTAGTAACTTTGAACAAAGCAACAGTAAGGACTACTTATTTAAAAATCTCCATTTGTTTTTTTTTATCTTAGATTTCTAAACCCAACCAGTATGAGCTTTGTGCCAACTCTACTTTCATTCCTGAAAAGAAGTAATACCATCTGTATGTTTGAGCATGCACATTTAATTCCAGGTAGTCTTGCCTCTACTTTCATTCTGTCATACTTTTCCACTGGAAGTTAAACTGGTATCTGAAGTCTAAGTCTGCCTTTCATACATGGGCAATGTTAAGCCCTTTTCCTCTTTGCTTACATCTCGAAAATTGGCAGAATATTGACTCCTCCACTTGTGTTGAAGGGTGTTGTGAAGGTCAAATGAGAAGGCTGACGTGACATGGTTTGCAAAGTCAAAAGCAGCAGACTCCATCCTAGGGCACTTTGGCTTATCTCAGAACCAAGGGGCCTATGTGGTTAGGCTTTTGAAGCCGCAATTGTCGTCTTTGGGACTGCCCACAACACCTGCAGCCACTATGGCAGGGTAGGTTGGTTGCTACTTCAAAGAGCAACAGAAAATTGAGGGAAGCAGGTGTTCTAAGAAAGAAGACCCAAACACTAATCCCAGAAATCTATCTGTCGAGATAAAGGCACTGGAAATTTCTTGCGTTGCTTTCTGGAACTGGGGAGAGGGAGGGGAGCAAGGGGGTAAACTTTAATTCATCCTGTACATTGTATTGCATTAATGGATTTAAAATTACAGACTATGATTTTTTTTCAAATATCAATTTTCAAGAAGTTTACCAATTCCAAAGAGAGAACTTAGTAAACTCTTTAGTGGGTTGAGGTCAGAATAATCACAAAGATGGAAAAAAAGTCTCCTACACATTTAATGAAAGCTAAAACATTGTCTATTTAGAAAAGTAGTCACTGGGAACATATGTGCACACCACGCACACACACATATTATTTTATCATCTCCTTGAAATGACATCTGTTGTAACTTCCATTTTCACAGGTGGAGAAAACTTGGGGGAAAGAGTTCTGAGACCTATTAGTTACAGTTGACTTTTCTTTGAGCTAAGCTGAATGAAGGTGCTGGAGGAACATTAGGGCCTCTGTTTGGCTCTCCTGTTTAGCACCTGCATGAACTCATATTGCCTTGGTGACCAAGCCACACTTCTTTCCTCATGTTGAAAGGGCTGATGGATGTTTAGTGACTTTTTGCTTGGGTAAATTGTGGTTTCTATCACTGTATAGGTGAGTTTCTCCCTTTTTTTATACTAAGAGGATTTGGTGAAATCATATAATCATAGTGAGGTTTCTATAATACCCCATTTCTATGCAGATTTCTTTTCCTATATATCCCCAGTCCCACTTGTGAGCTTTGTCTACTTTAAAAACTGCTTAGACACACCTGGGTGTTAAATGATCTGATGGCAATGGCTTTTGAAATACACACTTCATTATCCCATAGACATAGATCAGCCTCGCATCAGCTAGTGGGTAATCAGATGACCTGCGTAACTGCAATGGTCTTCAACCACTACACTGAGACCTGCCCCTAACTATAGTGATGGTAACATCCCTTGTTGCCATTTCTAAAGTGAAGACTTTAAATATATCACTGCCATGTTTATATAAGTCTCAATCTGCAAATTTCTTAGGGAAAATGTTACCTTTGTAAGAATATGGTCTTCAAGCAATATTATGGGCTTTGTTGTTGCTAGAATCATGATTAAACTGCGTTTTTCCTATTGCTTTTAGCTCTGTGAGTCTGTCTTATATGGATGAACCGAGCCAGCGTGAAGAGGTCTCTCGCCTTACAGTTCAGATGGAAAACACCTACCAGTTAGGTGTGTTACTCTTCATTCGGCCTTGTATTTGATTTCTAATTTGCTGACTGATGTATACAAATGACGCCAGATAACCTATCATTTTTTTCAATCCTAGTATGAGCAACACACAATGCTTGCTTTTCTTTAACAACACACACTGCTTGCTTTTCTTTAGCATGGTTTCTTAAAGATCAAGAAATTGCTCTCCATGTGACACAGATGTCTACAATCTATGATTGAATTAAGAACTTTATTGGGTACTTCTGAGTGGACTTATTATATTGCTACATATGTAACATATGTAGGAGTTAACCAAAAGATAGAGACAGGGAGAGTGTTGATGTATTATCCCAAAACCTCAACCAATGTTGTTGATAGTGACAAGAAGCAAAAAACTAATGTAGCAGCAAATGATTCATAGTCCCTTGTTGACAGAGATGTTTATCTATTACCATTGAGGTTTTCAGTTTTTGAAAACAAAGATCTTTGCACCTGCCCCTGTTCTCCCAGGTGCAGTCCACTGTGGGTATCTTTTCCCATTCATGCTTCTTTGTAGACAGACTTGTTTTTTCTAAATGTGGACTTGCCCACTATTATCTCAATTCATATATAATTACTGTTCTGCAGAAATCCCATGGAGATTTACCAAAGGGCAGGAAAAGACTCCATGGGCCAACGTGATTCCACTGGTGGCTGTTAAACCAAAGAAAATTATAAACGATTATTCCAGCTTACTAGGCTTGTGGCCAGTTTTCTACAGTAATTCCCAATGCTACATGTACTACAAGGCTCTCTAATTAGTTTTCTGGTGTTTCCACGGTGCTTGTAGTTAGCTAATATTTCTCTCATGCAGTATTCTATAGGCTTTCTGGTAGCCTTGCCAGATTTCTTTTGGAGTTGTTGATCACCATTTCTGACCCATAACATTTTGCTGAAGCTGATACTGCCTTCATAAATGGAACAAGTACCTGATTCTGGGATAGCATAAAAACCCTGATCAAAATCCCACTCAACTCTCTGAGATTAAATTCAGGAAGTGTTTGGCCTGTTGAAGACTCAGAGAAATCCATGGAACCTAAACCCTTGTAAGGGCAATGGTAGCTTCTGACATCTTGCTCCCACACCTGAAACTAAGAGAAAAACTGAATCCTGAGGTTATCATTTGAGTCCTAAATTCAGCTGGCTGCCTTTAGAGTTTTCAGTCAGGCAAACTGTGTTTGAGTCAAGCTTTCCCCGACTCAGACTGCAATCAGAAGTTTTTAATCACTGACAGCAGTTGAAATATAATCCCTTACGTTTCTTCTTCATAAGGCTATATTTTCACAACTTACTTTTATTTTCAAATACTCTAACTGAATCATCTAAGTTTTAGAAGTGCTTATTATTGGCCAAGTTAGAGAAGAGATTGTTACAATAGCTTGCTATGAAGTGATTGTTAAAATAGCATACTATGGATAAAATTGTTGCATATTTTCTTAATGCTTGTATGAATTATTCTTTTGTGATGAAAGGCCTTTGTGTTTGACTATTCACATTTGTAAGCATTCATTTAGCTGTTTTATTCCTAATCAAAACTGAATTTTTACTTCTATTTGTTTGGGGGTTTATTTTGCCCATGAAGGGCACTGTAGGGGCCTGTAATAAAGGCTTTTTCAGATTTTCATAATGTAACACCAGCCAGAAAAGGGGAATGGGGAATTAGTGAAGACAACACAGCATGCTTAATTAATTTTTTTCATTGTAGTTTGTCATCTAAATAAATCTCAAGTAAGTGGCATATCTGTCCTTCCTTTATGTAAGTAATTACAGCTAACAAAAATGAGGATGAGACATGAGTGTAGTCAATTAGAGCAATAAGAGAAATTGAAGAAGGGAGATTTTTAATAAAACATTTTATATTCATCACTAATAAATTGCTGAAATGAGTATGAAAGAAAGCTGGGTACCGGGGGCTCATGCCTGTACTCCTAGCTACTCAGGTGGCTGAAATCTAAGGATCATGATTCAAAGCCAGCCCGGGCAAAAAAGTCCATGAGACTCTTATCTCCAATTAATTACCAGAAAACTGGAAGTGGCACTGTGTCTTAAAGCAGTAGAGCTCTAGTCTTGAGTGAAAAAGCTCAGGGACAGTGCTCAGGCCCTGAGTTCAAGTCCCATAACCAACAAAACAATAAATAAGAATATGGAAGAAAATAGAAACTGTGGCTTTGATATAACTGAATTTGAGTAATAGTTTGTGCAAAGTGATTAACATCTCAAATCTTAGTTTTTCCATCGGTCAATATAAGAGTAATAGTCTATGTCACAGGGATGCTGTGAGAATTAAGCAAAATATACATTAACATTGCGTCTGTGTTCATTGTTATTGCTACTGAACACGACAGACCTTATGAAAATAAAGGTATCTCATGCTATTAGTGTAACTTCCTATTAATTATGGAATAAATTTTCCACAGACCCCTTTCCAAAGCTATGATTGAAGTGGTACCTAATTATTTAAAACCCTACTTTTAGCCTGGTGCTTGTGGCTCACTCCTGTAATCCTAGCTACTCAAGAGGCTGAGATTGAGAGGTCGCAGTTTAGAGCCAGCCTGGGCAGGAAAGTCAGTGTGACTTTTATTTTTAATTAACTACCAAAAAGCCAGAAGTGCAACTGTGATTCAAGTGGTAGAGCACTGGAGTTGATCATAAAAGTTTAGGGACGGTGCCCAGACTTTGAGTTCAAGTTCTAGGACACACACACACACACACACACACACACACACACACACACAAAGATGGTTCCCCAAAGCTCTTAGGTGATCTCTGATGCTCAGAAATAGGCTTTTTATTTTATGTTGCTGCTCCTGGGGCTTGAACTCAGGGCCTGGGTGCTACACCTGAGCATTTTTGCTCAAAACTAGTGCTCTACCATTTGAATTACAGCTCCACTTCAGGCTCTTGATGGTTGTTCATTGGAGACAGGAGCCTCACAGACTTCCTGTCTGGCCTGGCTGTGAACCATGATTCTCAACCTCCTGAGTAGCTAGGATTACAGGTGTGAGCCCAATGCCTGGCTGATGACTCCCTTTTTGTCACACTGAGACAAGCTGCCTGAGAATGAAACCAGAATGATGAAAAGTAGATCCTAAATGTAGAGAGGGTGAGGAAGAGGGAGAGGGAGAGGGAAAGTACTACAGTTCAACTTCCATGAAGGGCTCAAGTCCTATCCCTAGTGTCAGGTTATGTTGGGCCAAACTTGTGAGTCTCTCAGGACCCTTCCTGACAATGCGGGCCCCACCGTCCCTCTACTTATATCTTCTCCCATTTGCTACCTTCTAAGAAAGGTGAATTCTCTCATGCTTTTCTTCAGAATGCAATAACAGCAGCAAGACTAATAACAATAAACATCTAATGAGTGTTTCATTATGTTATACATACCATTCTAAACATTTTTAGTATTTCATTTCATGTAATCCTAACATGAAAATGCATAATAATTCATATTACCACAGTATGAAGCAGTTGAAGCACAGGTATGTTAAGTAACCTTATCTTTAGCTACTACCTCTTAAATCTATTTTAATATACTTTTTGTCCTGATTCTTCAGGACTCGGCCTTTTGATTTCTAAACCATCTTTCTTCTCCTAAAGAAAATATTATTTCAAAAATAAAGAGACAGAAGATAAGAAAAGCTTCACTGTTTGCATTATTTGCCTGTGAGAGGTAGCCTTAGGAGTTTATATTAGAAGTGAAAAGCTGAACATAGACACTTGCTGTCACTTTGAATCTGAGAGAGGCAATGGATGATTCTGAATGCATAAGGGGAAAGGCCACAAGGAAGTGAGATAATAAAATTTCATTTATATATTTCAAAGCTTTCAAAATAGAATCTGGCCTCTGAAAGTTAAAAATGACAACTAAGCAAAGTACAGAAAGGACATTTTTGTGGCTAGACAATGGGAACTCCTGGAACCAAGGACTCCAGTGCCACCAGGATTCTGTTTCCATCACTGACCTGTGTACAGCTTTCGTCCTTCCCTGTGCCCTGCCCTCCCTCCAATAATGGAAAAAACACAGCCTCTGGCATTCTTACAGGACATAGGTCATAACAAGTGAGAGGCTGACGCCTCTATTTCTGGTTACAGTTTGAAACAAAAATTCTAACAAAGAACTCTAATTGGCCTGGCCTGTGGCAGTGCCTTTTCTGAGCCAATCAATGAAGTTCTGTGTTCACAGGAGGCAGTACTGAATCCCAAAGAGCCCCAAGACTAGAAGAGGAAAAGAATCAATTCCTAGAGCAAAAAAATGCTGGTCCCAAATGGAAGGGAAGAGCATGAGGCAGACAAAATACCCACACTAGAGGATCTGGCTATTTTCTTTTTTTTGGCGGGGGGAGGGGAGTCCGGTCATGGGGCCTGAACTCAGGGCCTGGGCTCTGTCCCTCAGCTCTTCAGCTCAAGGCTAGCGCTCTACCACTTGAGCCACAGCTCCACTTCCAGCTTTTTCTGTTTATGTGGTGCTGAGGAATCGAACCCAAGGCTTCATGCTTGCAAGGCAAGCGCTCTACCACTGAGCCACCTTCCCAGCCCCATAGCTGGCTCTTTTCTGAAGGGAACCATACCTACAAATACATTATTACAAGTCAGAGCTAAGTTCCCTGTGAATGTTTTGTGTCAAATAAAATCATCTGTTATGAGGGCTTGGTAGGAAGGAATGAGAACAAAAAGGGTAACAATTATTTAATTTAATCTAGGTTAATGGTATCATTTTAAATTTTCTTCAGTTAGACTTTATTTCACAAGAATTTGCAAATAGAAATCCTCTAAAAGATCCACAGGAAGGTGACACAGTAGAAGTATCCAGGAGCTTATTTAGAGTAAGCAGAATTGAGTAGAACTGATAGTCCATAGACTGATAAGTGATCGTCTCTCTTGAATACATGAGAGGTTCCCCTAGTGAAAGGAAACTAAATGTCCCTGTGATTTCCTCTGTTCCACTCAGATCTCCTGGAAGAGGCCTTTGATTAAATCCACCTGGAATTTCCTTAACGTAGTGTGCCATATGTTTCCTTAGACATTGACTGATATAGTCATGACAAACAAGCCCCTATTAATAGATATTATTAAAAATAAATTATATTATTAAAATTAAAATAATTCTTGATTTCATTTCTTTCCTTTGTACCAACTCTCCAATGATTGAGCCCGAGCATGTATGCAAATCATACAATGACATGGTGATAAGCAGAAGGATAATATTAGCAGATACTAATACTCTAGGATGTAGGATAAAGCAGATTCATCTGAAGCTTTGATCAGAATGTGAGTGGGAATATAAATTTTAGAGTCAAGGAAATCAAGGTTCATCCTAGCTCTGCTCTCTCTGTTTAATTTTGAGCTTAAACCTCTATTTTTCTACCTGTAGATGAAGATAAGAGGGACTCACCTCAGTTTCCTACTGAAAGATTATGTAAAATCAATAAAGGTAAAGGGCTTATCACAGTGGCTGACACATAAAACTAGTTAACAAAACATAGCCATTATTTACATGCTCATTATTGGCATGATCTGAGAATGTTTAATTCAACTTAATTTCAGTCATACAATAAACATTTCCTATACCTTCAGCATTGAACTAGACTTGAAAGAGGAAAAACCAATCTTGTTTGCCATTTTACTAGAGAGAAATGCAGGTATGTCTTAGCTATTATCAAATGGATTAACAGCCAGGATAGTGATAGGGAGAGTGAGGAGAGGGATGGTTTCCCCTAGGAACCTAGGGAAAGTAGAAGACTACCTGAAAAAAAAAAAGAGATTCCAGCTAGACTTGAAGCATGGCGAATATTTTTCAGAAAACAGATGCTTCATTGGAAAGACAAGAGCAACAGCAAGGACACATGCACACCCTTCAATAGGTAGATGGGGACCAAGAGCCTAGAGCAGCATGCATGCAGGAAAATCTAGTAGTAGGAAGAGCAGCCACAGATTGTCTAGGACCCAAACCATGAGCCTCATTAAGGGGGATGGCCATTGGAAGATTAGGGCTTCAAGCATTTTCTCCAGTTGCAGTATGTATAATGAAGGGGAGCTAAAAGAGCAAGGGAGCTGGTGAAAAGGTGTTGAGATTGTATGGTAAGCACTCATTAATGAGCCTTCAAATTGAGAAGGAAGTGATAAACAGAATTGATCACTTCCTCAGTAGTCCGGTGAATACCTGCATCTACTGTCTACTCATTTTCTCCCAGAGTACCTGACTAGACACCCAACTTTCTTCTTAAATAAAGGCTAACCAAATAACAGAAGATCTCTTCATGTTTCAATATTCTTTTGATAAGCCTATGAAGTGGGTAGATGTGGTTTGAAGATATTTCTTGTATGTTTTCAGGTCCTACCAAACATTTTCCTGTGGTCACTGTCAATCATATTTTGAAAGATGTGCTGACTAACTATCTACAAGAAGAAGACTATGAACCAGAGCTCTGCAAACAGATGACTAAAACTATTGCTGAGGTACATGAGTATACAAGTATGATTTGCCCAAACTGTTAACCAAAACTACAATATTTACTAAAAGCACAATCCATATTCTACTTCTTATTAGAAGGAAATATTTTTCTAGTACTTGTTGACAGTTATATTTTGTAAAAATATTTGTTAGCTCATATGCCTTATCTGTGGTTTATAATAAGCCCTTGTTTAAAACAATCATTATGTAAATTATTTGTGTGTATTTTGTATTAAATTTATACAAAACTTCCTACTTCTAAAAAAAGCTCCTGTAAAGGATATAATTTTTGATCACTGATTTTCTCTTCACCATGTAAACCTTGCCATCAAATGAATTTTTATCAATTAATGTAGAGCAATTTGTTGTGGTTTCCTTTACTTTTGTTTTTGTAACAAATCCTTTAATAAACATTCATTACTAGTCATATTGCAGGAATCTGAAGAATATAAACAAGAGCAGGATAATTCTAATATCAAAAATTTTTGAGAGAAAACCATTTTTAGATATGTTCAAAGAACATAATAATACATTAAATTCTGTACTTTGAATTTGGTGTTGGTGGCTATCATTCCAGCTACTCAGGAGAGTGAGATCTGAGGATTGAGATACAAAACCAACTGGACCAGACAAATCCAAGAGACTCTTTTTTTCCCCAAGAGACTCTTATCTCTAATTAAACAGCAAAAAGCCAGACGCAGAGCTTTGGCTAAAGTGGTAGGATACCAGCCTTGAGCAAAAAAGCTAGGGGACGGTGCCCTGAGATCAGTCCCTAGTACCAGCACACACACACACACACACACACACACACACTACTAACAACAACAATAATAACAGTAACAGCAATAATAAACTCTGTGCTCTGGGTTACAACTGTTTAATGTCCCTTAGAAAGTGTACTTTATTCCTGGCTTCACCATTTTGTCTCTGGATGTCTTACTTCACAAGGGCAGTAATTATAGGAAATCATAGTTATAGTTCTACAGCAATCACTGAAAGTATCTATAATGTGCCATGCTATTTTCTTAAACTAAATCTACAGTATTTGTGACAGAGTTTATTGAGTTTCAATGTACCTAATCAAAAACCCCTTTCTTTTTCTTTTTATAATTTCTAGGTTATTAAAGCCCGAGTCAAGGAATTAATGATTCCACGGTATAAGCTAGTTGTGATTATTCACATTGGACAACTGAACGGTCAGAGCTTACTTATTGGAAACAGATGTCTCTGGGATCCTAAAAGTGATACTGTTTCATCCTATGTTTTCAGAAATGCTTCTCTCTTTGCTCTTGCAAATGTGTATGCAGTTTATCTTGAGTGACTGAACGGAACTACAGTTCTTATGCTTTTAACTCATGAAATGGGCTGTATCTATGTACACAAATATTGTACTGCCATAAACTTTAAGAAAGAAACAAAACTAACATTTCAATAACTGGAAGGCTTTGGACTTTCTTTTTTAATGCTTGTAAGTATTGGAAGAGGGAAGGGTAGCACCAGAATGAATCTTGTTTATCCAAAGCAGTAATAGACTGTTTTCATAAACATAGTCTTATTAGATATTACTTTTGGAACTAATTAATTTAACCATTTGTTTAGATAGTTAGACTTCCCTAGATTACTATTAGACAAAGAGAAGTTTTAGAAATGTGCCAGGCACTGGTGGCTCACACCTGTAATCCTAGCTACTCAGGAGGCTGAGATCTGAGGATCGCGATTTGAAGCCAGCCTAGGCAGAAAAGTCTCTGTGAGACTCTTACCTCCAATTAACCACTCAAAAAACAGAAGTAGTGCTGTGCCTCAAATGGTGGAGCACTAGCCTTGAGCACAAAGAGGCTCGAGGACAGCACCCAGACACTGAGTTCAAGCCTCAAGACCAGCAAAAGCAAGCAAGCAAGCAAGAAAGAAAGAGAAAGAGAGAGAGATATAAAGAGAGAAGGCAAGAGAGAAAGAAAGGAAAAAAGAAAAAGAAAGAAGAAGGAAGGAAGGAAAGAAGGACAGAAAAGAAAAGGAAAGAAAAAAAGAAAAGAGAAAAGAAATGAAACTAAAAGAAAAGAAATATATGACTGGCTCTATACCCATAGTCATAGGACTATAGATGCTAACCAATAAATGACAGTAGAATATTCCATGTGGTATACACAAAAAGTGATTAATGCTAATATGTCTTGGTGTTGCTTATAAAAGAACACTGGGTTTCATTTTGCATTTAATAAATTGAGCAGCATTCATTAACTGCAATTATTGTTACGCATACCTGACAGTTGAAGCTGCTGAGGTAGAATTAATGACTTCATAATGATTATCATTGTCCCATGAGATCTCAAGCTAAAAACCAAGAAGCTCTTCTGAGCTGCCTGCACTTGATAAAATTGTGGGCGAACTGAACACTGGCTCTTCAATAATGGAAACTATAAAGTGAAAAAAGGATTTTTTAGGACACTGAAGTAGACATTGTCCCATTAAATATACATGATGCATGATGGTAAATGTGTCTGTACCACATAAAATCATGCCTTGGAAAGAGACACTACTTTTGAATATACAGCCACCTAATGTGCCTTTGAATACAGAGGTTTTCCTAGGCTAACTAACTTTTACACAAGATATATAGCTGGAAGCTTAACAAATAAAACATATGTATTTACCATTTTGTTCCTATGAATTTAATGCTAAAGTGAGTCAGTGTGGTTTTAAATGGATAGGCATTAAAATTTACAAGGCTGAAATAGCTTATTATTCTGCTAGTTAATGTATCTTGTACCATGGATCATTTATTTTTATGGAGCTTTCAAACCTCTGTACGTGTGTGTGCGTGTGTGTGTGTGTGTGTGTGTGAGAGAGAGAGAGAGAGAGACAGAGACAGAGACAGAGGCAGAGACAGAGACAGAGAGACAAAGACAGAGACAGAGACAGAGAGAAGACAGAGAGAGACAGAGTGTACAAAACGATGCTGTTCTTGGATGCTAAGTCGACTGCTTAGAGGACATTTGTTAAAGGTCAAAGACAAATTGTTCACATACGGAGAAAATTAGCAATGTTATAGTCTTTGGGAAAATGTGGAATGCATATCAAAAAAATTAAGAAATGGAAAGAACACTCAATGCTTTAGAATTAAAAAAATATTTTGCCATCTTATTTTTTCCTAAAGTGAATGTAGTTTAAAAAATGCATACTCTCTAAATTCCTTTCCTTCTCCTTTTTCTAACCTATAAAGTAGCTTTTCAACATGAACTTGTCCATTTTTATTGTTTTTTTTTGTTCTGCTATGCTTTAGGGGACTATGTTTATGTGATAATTATCATGCCCAATTTTTGTCAATCTCCACAGGCCAGTTTTCAATCTGGGTTAGATTACAAGTGAAGCAAGAAAATATGACTCATATTTTAATTGAACATTTGCAAATCTCTCTCTGTGGAAGAAAGCCAGCAACAATCTTGCAGCAATTTTTCTTGAACAAAGCAGAACAAAGAAACATCTTTAATATATCTATCGTAAAAATGACCATTTTTTGAGTCCTAAATTCTAATCTAAGAGATCATTTCTCACTATTTTTCCCCCCTAGGTTGTATTGAGAATCAAATCCTTTAAAAAAATGATACTGGTTTAGAAAGCAAAAACCACAACAACCAAAAAAAGTCCATATAGTTTGCTGGCAAATTACCATGTACTATAATTTCGATGAGGTCAATGAAGAGCATTAGCAATTACCCAGCACTAGAAGAATGTACAATAAAAAAAAAAAAACTTGTGACTTGTTTAGGAAACTGCTCATCATTCAAAGCCTTGAAAGAAACTCCACAATAAATGTGAAGGACTTGTACTTTGAAATACCAAACTGCCCTGGCATTTTGTCCATTCAGCAGGTTTCCAATAGTGCCACCCTTCTGCCCTTGCTGGGTGTGTCCCTCCCTACCTTGGAGACTTCATACCTGCTTCTCCCCAACTTGAAACAGCCCTTTTCCAGGTGAGCAACCTTCTTCACTTTCCAGCCTCCAGCTCAAGTACCTTGCTCTCAAGTCCTTCTCTACCCTTTCCTTGTCTCCTGTTTCTTCTCAAATCACATTCCTAGTTAAGCTCCCAATTGCTCTCTAATGGATGGTTTAATATTAATTTTGTGTTCCTTACCAGGTTGAAAATATTAATTACAATTGACCTCATATCTTGGCAACATCTAACAAATCTAATTCATTTTTACTTTTAAAGTAAGAACCATGTGTGTGGTCCTCTGCTACCTAAGTCCCAGTTGCAATGAAATAGCAATACATAGCTAAACCACGGAGGACAAGGATGGTATTGAAATGATAACAGGAAGACACTAGTGACCACAGACCAGATTAGAGCATGTCACAAGTAAAGTCCAGAACATCTTCATCTGATTCAAGGAATTATGGCCAACTTCATGAACAGAAGTAGCAACTGTTATTCAGATAAAAAGAATTTCAACAGAATGGAAAAAACAAACATGGTTCATGAAGATAAGAAAGTAAAGATTGGGAGGAAGGCTACATGATAGAGTGAGACTATTTGGTAAACAAACTGCACTCAGACCAGGAAGAGTCATGGACTCTGTGTGTGTGTGTGCATGTGCATGTGTGTGTGTGTGTGTGTTTACCAGTCCTGGGGGCCAGGCTCTGAAATAGAACTTTTTTTTCCCTCAAGGCTAGTGCTCTACCACTTGAGCCATAGCTCTACTTCTGGCTTTTTTGTGCTTAATTGGAGATACAAGTCTTAGGGACTTTCCTGCTGCAGCTGGCTTTGAACTGTATCCTCAGATCTCAGCCTTGTGAATAGCTAGGATTATTGGCATGAGCCACCAGTGCCCCAATTTTTTTTGTTTAACTAGCTGAGAAGTGCAAATGAAGAAGTGCATTAGCCAAGTTTAACAGGAAGTACAGTCAGTCCAAATGGCAAATTGTGTTGGAGAAGTACAGCAAGACCATTTAGGTGATGGGCAGCTCAACCAGGCAATGGTATTGAAAATGGAAAGGCCATGTGAATACAATTGTATGGGACAGTGTAGAGACATGATCTACACTGCTGGACAAAAGGGAAGGAATCAGAAGAGAAGCTAAGGCAATATGAGCAGGTGATTGAAGTTTTCAAACTCAGGGTATTTTCAAACTTAGGTCTGAATTCTGCTATGTTCCCAGTGCAAGTCAAGCGATCTTACATAAATCATTATCTTACTAGCAGAGGCTTTCCCATATTAATGCAATGATGATGCTAGCATCTACTGCCCAGGATGATGGAGAATTAACTATATGTTTGCTCAAATCTTAACAACATAATGGCTGGATACAAAGCCCTTGATAAAGAGGAGCTCCCCTGTTTATAGTTGAAAGGAAGAGTTTGAGAAATAAAATATCGTTTTATTTTGCACTCGAGTTTAAGTTAATAATGGGGCATTAGTTGGAAACCGCCTTGGGCTGCAGAAGATGTGGGCTAAACTTGGGCTAGAGCTGTGCTTCAACATCAAGGTAAGAGATTTAGACTTGGCAGTCATCCAAACTGAGCTCTTAGATCTTCTTGCTTTATAAAATATTCATTAGCCAAGTTTTCGGCAAGTATAGTCAGTACTAATAGCAAATAACTGAAAACTTCGTTAGCTCTGGGAAAGTCAGTTAAAAACAATCCCCCCAAACCAATAGGGATTATTTTTCCCCCAGACCAAAAATAAATACCCCTTTTCCTCTCCATTAAAACTAAAATCCTGCTTGATCTCTTTCTATAGTAAGACATCATAAAAAAATATAAAGTTTCTCTCAAAACCATGTTAGTAGCCAAGTGTTGGTGGTTTACGCCTGTAATCCTAAACTACTCAGAAGGCCGAGATTTGAAGATCGTGGTTCAAAGCCAGCCTGGACAGGAAAGTCTGTGAGACTCTTATCTCCAACAAACCACTAAAAAACCAGAAGTAGTGCTGTGGCTCAAGCAGTAGAGTGCTCGCCTTGAGCTGAAGAGTGAAGGGACAGCGCCCAAGCCCAGAGTTCAAGCCCCACGACGAACCAAAAAATAAAATAAAATAAAATAAGAAGGCTGAGATCTGAGGGTCAAACTGCAAAGACAGTCCAGGTAGAAAAGTCTGTAAGACTCTTAACTCCAATTAACCAGCAAAAAGCTGGAAGTGGCAGTATGACTTAATGGTAGAGCACCAGTCTTGAACATAAAAACCAAATATGAGTACAAGGCCCTAAGTCCAAGCCACAGTGCTGGAACAAAAATCAAAATAACAATTACAAAAACTATTACTATCTCAAATGAAAATATCAGTATTAGTTACTGTTATTGTTAGCAGAATAACTTTTAAAAATATGTAAA